TAAACATTTTACACCGTTTGTTTTAACTATTTAATGTAAACTGTAGGACACTTTTTTAACAACACTTTACACCATACCATGTAAAATATTTTACGTGGGGAGAGTAGTAAACTACTTTACACCCGGGAGAATAAAAATACACCACTCCAACCTAGCGGCTCCGAAGATTCCATCGTAGCGGCAAACCAAAATATTGCCGCAGGTTATCTGCTCCGACCAGTCACACGTAGTGTCCAAGAAAACAACAGATTCTACAATCTCCACTTTGAATGTGCTTTCCATCCATGTTAGTTTGATATACTAACCAATTAATTTTGCTTACTTTTTAAGAAACGCTTGTATTTTGTTTTTGTTTTTGTGTGTATTTATATACAAAGTATGTATATTATATGTATGTACTGTATGTAGATATAGGCTTGTTACGATGTTGTGCTTGATTTATTTGCTCGGTCTGTTTTGTCAGCGAGAGATGGATTAATCCTTTTTTGCCACACATGTTTAATTTAGTTTGGGTGTAATTTAAAAATAGATAACATATAACCAAACGATGTATTCTATTTTACATGTAAACTATTTTACAGCCCTAAACTTTACATGCAATGATTTTACATGTAAAGTTTTAATGAGTAAACTACCAAACGGGCCCTAAAGTTAGGGAGAAGACCGCTAGAAAATAAAGTCACCATTTTTTTTAATTGAAAAGGTCAAATAATATTATTTCACGTGACACATAAAAAATGATTACGATGGAGAACTCTAAAAGGAATGATCGACCAATGAACAAGTTTCAATTTCACAACACTTACATGTCACTATGTCAGTTGTCATTAGTCTTAGATTCACATTTCTATTGGGCTTATCCATGTCAAACGTGTGTAGATTTGGTAGAATCCAGGCCGCCCTCGATGATAAATAATAGGCCCACTAAAACATGCCTCTCAAAATAGAAAGCCCAAGAGCAGGTAGCAATACTTGTACGTTCAGCTGTTTTAGCCCTTCGGTCCACATCACTTTCCCTATCCTATTAAATTTTGTCGGATTTAACCAGCACATAAATTTATAAAATAAAAATTATATGATGGAGATTTGAACACGAAAAAGAGAATTAATTAAAAGTAATTACTGATAATAAAAGTGATTAAGTTAAAAGTAATTACTGATAATATGTTAAAACACGGGTTCCATCCTAAAAGATCAATCTTATAGGGGGAGTATCACATGTCTTAATATAGCACTTCGTTGATTCAAAGTTTCAAACATTTCCGGTGTGGAATTCTAACACCTCTTCTCACGACCAGACACTTCGTCTGGATCGTGTCGTCATTCTCTATTTTTTCTTCGTCGGTTCGTCATTGTCATTTTTTTTTACAATCGTGTCGTCATTTTTCATAAAAGGGACCACACCATGGATCGATTTGGCTCTGATACCATGTCAAGACACGGAGTTCCATCCTAAAAGGTCAACCTTATAGGGGGAGTAGCACATGTCTTAATATAGCACTTCGTTGATTCAAACATTTCCGGTGTGAGATTCTAACATAATAAAAGTGATTACGTTTTGAGACCATTTAGTACAGAATACTTCATATTCGACCCATAAGTTAAATCTCGAACTAATTTGTAAGTTTGTGTGATGAACAATCAAACATGTACAGGATTAGGAAATATTTTGACACACATTATTAATAAGGAGTTGATTACAATTATCATCCACGCTTATATTTCTACTTATAACAAAACGACCAAAAATTATTTTGTTACAATGAGAATGTTTTTACTTGGACTGTAATTTGCTGGTCTGGTCTGATCTGGTCTGGTCTGGTCTGGTCTGGTCTGGTCTGAACTGGTACGGTCTGGTCTGGTAAGGTCTAGTTTCTTTGTATTTTTATAACTATCCAAGTCTGGTTTGGTCTGGTCTGAACTGGTATGGTCTGGTTTGGGACAAATTCAGGACCGCGCCTTGGTTACTAGAGTTTTAATATATGGGTTGTTTGGATCTGATTCATTCTTAAAATCGCTTCTACTCCTTGAAATAGCAGAAACAAAAGTTAGAATGTTTGGGTGAAAGTGCAGAAGTGTGATGTTCTCATTTACTCCTAGAATAAATTTTTTTTAATAGCTGGGGGAGACCAGTTTCTAAAAATTGATTCTAATTCTGATTCTACTTTAAAAAAGAATTGAAGTAGAAACAAAATCAATTCCAAACACCCACATTACCCCAAAACACATTAAAGGGTGCAAGTAAAAATGAATGACTCTAATCTATAAGACTTTAAAAAAAACTTGCATTATATTTATAAGTACCTATATAGAACGAATCACCGGTAATTTATTCAATGTGAGATAATAGATTGTCATCCTTCCAATGGCATACTCGTCAAACCTTTGGGTGTATGAATTGATCAATTGAAGAGCGCCTTTTTATATTAATATTAAGAAATCATATAAGACAATCACCAGAATATTATGACATAGATCATCGAAAGCCCTTAGAATAGATATTATGGAATCAACCACCCCATACAAAGCAACCGATTCGCTAGACACAAAACGAGCAAATTTAAACTTAAAACAATCGGAACTGAAATACTGTCTATCAAACCTACTTCAAAAATCCAAATGTCCGAACCAAACGGTCCAAAGTCTTTTCACAAAACTGTTCCTGGCATGGAGGTGGTTCGGGAGGAGAGCGAGCTCTAGCATCTTCTACACAATCGAAAAGAAGATAGACAGAAACTGCTGACTAGACGAATAAGTTGGTCAGGTCACCAAAATAACTCCCCACACCGAGGGAGAGAAAACAGGAAATAAACCTACAAACAAATACAGCCAAAAAAAGATGAAAATCCATTTGGTTCGCACACCTACACGAAATTTTTGAGAGCTAATGTCACCTTAAACAAGACATGAAATCTGTTACCTACTTGGATGAATTGTCCAAAAAATATTGCCACATCACATTTATTCATGCTCCTTAAATAAACGATTTTTGTATAACACATTATTAAAACATGACATTTATTCAAAAAAAAATTAGATATTCCCAATATAAATTTCCTTGAATAGGAATATTGAGACTGTGGCTGCGGAGTAATTCTATGGCAATGGGAGGATCTAACTTTTTCAACAATCACTTATTCACTTTGGACATCAACTCCATTAACGCAAAAAACAGGCCTCCGGTATTCGATTCCAATTGTGTTTGCGATCATGATCGATCAATGGCTATTGCAGCCACCGCAATACTTACAGCGGCTTGATAACACAGAAATTAGGTGATCAGTTGATTCTGTTAAAATATATAAAGTTCAAGTGGCTTGATCGGATGATTCTTCTCCTGAATTATGAAAAAAAACATGTTTACAATATATATTTTTAATAAAATAAAGAAAAAATTATATGAATATAACTTAATTAAAATGATACTCTACTGTACAAATGGTCAATACAGCCGAAAAGTAGGTTCATGCAACGGATTCTTAATTGTAAAGTGGCGTATATTAAATCAGCCCAAATAAGAAAAATGATAATTTCTTTAAGCCTTTATATTAAAGTTGTATTAATTAACAATTAATATAATGTTGTATTTTTATTCTTTTAAGTGAATGTGTAAGGAGTTTGATTAAAAAAAAGTTAGATTCTATGGTACTCCATAGAATATAAATGTACCGTACCTTTGTCCAAATGGACCAATAAGAATGATGCAGTTGAATTATTTAAATCTAAATTAAAAGGCATATAATGATTTGGACCAATCAAATGCATGATAGGTACGGTACTCCATTTTTTAAATGGGTACCGGAATTGTCACCTTTTAAAAATCCTGAAATACTTTTCGAAGCGTATATGTAAATATCCAACCAACATATCAGGATATGGCAATATTAAAAGTAAATAGTTAAGAGTATCCATACAAGGAGAAACATAACATGTTATATTGCTATCTGTAAACTTTTGGAGTTACGTATCAAATCCATGCTGTTGATGTTTTTAATCTTCCACTGCGTAATGTGTATTTGTGTATTAACACCGAATGACGAAAACAATTGTTACTTTGATGATGCAAATATATAAAAAGATATGCTAAAATTATGAACAATGACATTAAAAATTTGAAATAGAGAAGTTGCCGAAACTCATATTGTTTAATTTTGCACAATTTCTTACCTTGTTTCATCTTCAGCAAAACAACTACAAGTCTACAACCTTGTAGTTGTTCTTACTAGGCAACTTAGGGGCAGATGTTGGATGTGAGGGTAGGGGCCCTAAATGTCAATGTACGACTTGATTTTAAGTTTATCCACATCCCAATTTTCCTTTTACCACTTTTAGATACTGGGAGATCTCTCTGTAGGATCAAAACATAGTAAATTTTCAAAAATAGGGCTAATGTTTAAAATTCATAACTAGAACTTTTTTATTTGTGATTGGATAAAAATACATTACAGGTTGTAGCAGTGTCACTGCTCGGACCACCGCCGAACCACCAAAATTAAGCATCGGATAATGTAGATTGAGTTTTGATCAAACACTAGTGAAAAAGTGAAGTTTCAAACATTTAGTTCAAATCTTTGCTTTGAGTTGAACCAAAACATCTTGTGACACAACTACCATAATACTAGGAGAAACAATATTAGGGGCATAAAAATTACAAGACTTTAATCAAGTACACATCTCTCCACCCTTGTATGCAATGTGTTCACTATAGAACATGAAAGTGAAAGAATATATATACTCTTCATATCACACTTCAATATGTTCTACTCCATATAATAAACATATAAGGTTGTCCAATTTTTGTTAATTATTCTTACCCCGGTACACTCAATTTATTTATAAACAAACGAACAAAAAGGGGGAGATGGCAAAAAAGAAAAATAAATAAATGAAGGTAAAAAAGAAGGATAAGGAAATGAATAGGATCATTCCTCATTGAGGACCCAACCATTTAATATCATGGGCTAAATTTTTTACTTTTAATTTACGAAGCCAGAACAAGAATGCTCAAGTCAGACCAATAATGAGATCTCTATAAGAGTTCAGATATTGCAGAGCCACCTTTAATTTTCAATTATTTGAAGAAGAAAAAAAACCCAAAGCTTTCTCTATCAAACACATGGACCACTGTCCCCTACTCCCCTCCCATCTCCTTCCAGCCCTTCTCATCTTCTCCATCCATCCTCTTATTATCCTCTCAATCCTGCTTCTACCTAGCTAGCATATCCCTATTCTTTATTGCATCACACTATTAACCTCAACAAAAACCTTTCATTCAATTCCAGTTGTTTTTTTTTTTTCTCCAACATCTATCTTATTATGGGGTTTTCACACAATACATGAAAGCCAAATTAAACCCTTTTTGTGCTTATATATATAACTAATTAATAACTTATTATTAAGAACTCCATTGAGTTACCTAGGGTTTAATTCGATTATTACGATGAGTCAGTGTGTTCCCAGTTGGGAGGTTGAAGATGCTAACCAGCCTCCTCTCGACATCAATGCTCTTGCTGATTCTTTGTGTAGCGACGTTCCCTCGTACGTTATTACTATGTAAATGTGTTTAAGGTTGGTTTAGATGGCTTAATCATTGTTCTCAAAGGTAACGGTTGTTATTTTATTTTATGTGTTACAGTTTGGACTACGAAGTGGCGGAGTTGACGTGGGAAAATGGGCAGTTAGCTATGCATGGGTTAGGCGCTCCGCGGCCGAGCAAGTTACTGGCCGCGGAGTTGAAGGACGCGTGGGAGAAGCCACGCGCCGGTGGCACGCTGGAAGCTATTGTTAGCCAAGCCACCAGCATGCCACGCCGAAAGCGTGTCGGCATTGACGGGGTCGGAGGATTCATCGGCGGAGAGCTCGTCCCGTGGTTCGACCCGCATACCCAACAACTCGTCGCGGGCTCCCCCAAGAAAACCCCCGGAGCCTCGGCCGCCACCATTACAATGGACGCAATGGTGCCTTGCGCCAAAGCTACATCCGCGCCCGGTGCTAGGTGGACCGGGCACGACCGAGAGCCCACCGCTGCCACCCGCTTGATCCCGGGATTCTCGGGACACGTCGGATCGTGTAGCGGCGTGCCCACTGCACGTGTTGGCGGCGGTGGTGCTGCTCAGGATTGGAGCAACAAGGGTGAGATGAGTGTGAGCGGAAGCGCCACGTATATGAGGGATAGCCGGCAAGTGACAATGACGGATACCGGCGGCGATAGAGATCTTTGCACGGAGGGGTTCACTTCCACGTCCATGCCGTCGCTGGGAAACACCAGCTCAGAGAAACAGTGCACTATGAAGTCAAACGACGATAATGACAACTCAGTTTGTCACAGTAGATCCCAGGCATGCAACTTCTTTAATACTAATATTATTAAATTCTTTTTACTACTTTTAGTAAATGATTACGGAGTATTATTTTTTCATTTGATTAATTCTTATGAATATAAATGTGCATGTGATTACAGAGGGATATTGACATGGATGATAAAAAAGTAAATGGAAAATCCTCAGTTTCAACAAAAAGGAGCAGGGCTGCGGCTACTCATAACCAGTCTGAAAGGGTGGGTAACTATCATTCAATTATTATTTTATGTGTTCACTTTTCAGAATATATATTCCAAGAGTACGGCAAAGTGCAAAAGCTTATGACAACTTTACAGAAGTGTTGAAATTTGCCAGATTGCTATGTTGTTTTTGTTACTTCATTTACTTTAATTGGGTATGATCATACTACGTATGAATTAGGGTTAACTTTTTGGTACTTCATTTACTCATATGCCAAAAGTACGGAGTAGTGTTTTATCGATTCGTTTAAAACACCATTTCCATTAGTCCCATACTCCTATGATCCTGTCACATTCGAGATTCAAAAATCAACCTCATTATCATATAAACATATAAACTCTTTTTCATATTTTTCAGGATCAAATAAGATTGTGCTCTCAATATAGTAAGTAATATCATCTTGAAAAATAATTTCAAGATGATAGTGTTCTTATTTCTTATCTAGACAAGGTACCATGATTTTACTTCTCATTAGGCAATGACTTTTAGGGCTACATTCTCAATGTCTCATGTTCTTAACAGTAAAAATTAGGACGCCATTTTAGGAATTTTATTTTCTTAGCAAATAAAGGTTGTAAGTTAAAAAAAACTCGACAAAGATCCCATTTCGCATGCTTCAATAGTCATTCAAATACGAATTTCAGATAATATGTACATATTAGTTCAGGTACCCTAGTTGAGGAAAAGCAACACAAATTTCAACACTTCATGATTGATAAAAAAGTAAACTATAGAAGTCGTAGATGGAGAATATTTACTAGGCTAGGTGAGTCTCTATTAAATGCGTTCAAATCTAATTCACATGATATGTCAATATTAGGCGTGGCAAGTTGACATCTTGCATAGTATAAGTAATGTTTTCACTATTTCCACTTGTTACAGTTTTAGGGAACAAAATGACTCCTATAATTTCAAAGTGCCTCAGATCAATAATACCTTGAGCTAAGCTGTTTAATTTGCCTCGATATCTTAGCTAAGTTTGGTCGAAAAAAGTCAAATCAAATTAATAACCTTCACTATATTGTAGCCCTTATTAGGATTAATGATTTATATATGAGCTAGTAGATCTTCAAAAACTATTTAAACCATAAAAAAAACCATACATAATATGCACAATATTTGGAATGCGTGTATGCATATAGGAAGATGATACTAAAGTCTAAAATATCACCTCTAGTACACAATCGGCCAGTATTCATTTTCTTATTTAAAAATAGATGTTATATTTCTTTTTGCACTGCTTTCAAATACAAAAAGGTTCTAACCTACGTGTGAAACGTTTAATTTTTAGTACTAACCTATTTGTTGATGAATAAATAGGTTTATGTTGTACTCCCTCCGTCCCTTAAAGGTTTGCCATGTTTGACTAGCACGTAGAATAATAAAGTAAAAACTGTGTGGTAGAGATTTGTGCAGAGGAGAGAGAAATAACATGAGCCACAAATTGATTGATTAAAATGGAAAGTGACAAAGTTTTTGGGACAATCAAAAATGGAAAGTTGGCAAAGTTATAAGGGACGGAGGGAGTATATACGAATTTGTTCATTTCTTTCGACTAATTATGTGAACGTACGCATGCATGATAACTACAGAAGAGAAGAGACAAAATTAATCAACGGATGAAGACATTGCAGAAGTTGGTTCCAAATTCGAGTAAGGTATACATGTGTATTTAGTTTTTATTTTTAAATTGATTTATTGTATATATTCTAAATGCGCCATAACTCCAATTTTATTTGAGTCGATAGGCATTTTGTCATTTTTTTAATCATATTTAATTGCATGTTGCATCTATATAATTTTTAGATATTCAGCACTCAATAGGTGAATTTCACATTTAAGAATATGTGAATTTCCTAAATATAATTGACGGTAAGAAGAGTAATTAATAATACTCGCGTGGTAATTAATGAATAAAATGCTGTCCGTCACAATCTTAGTCTTTTATTAATTAGCACGTACCCTACTGCCACTTGTTGCACAGATACTAATGTACTTTAATGCTTGAATAATAAACATTGACACGACAATTTTTGAATTTTCATAATTGCTATCAAACTTATCATTGAATAATTGGCTGATGTTACTTGCATGTACTAATATCTCCATGAATTATTTTGCAATCTTTGATGTGACAAAAATATAAAAATTAGAAATGCATAGTTTCATACTCCCTCTTTAACATTTATATCTTCTCATTTTCCTTTTTTTTGGATGTAACATTCATATCTTCCCATTTCATAATCTTCCAATCATACCCTCAATAATTTTAAAAATAATACACTATTACACCTACTTTTTTTGGATTTATCCTTCATTCCAACACATTATTTCACTATCTTCCCATCATACCCTCAATAATTTATATCCTCTTTCACTATTCTTAATCTACCTACTTTTCAAATGGGAATGTATATTACGGAGGGAGTATATAATATTGAAGAAGAAAATAGCATAAAATGTATACGTTCATTTTTTCAAAATAAGATTTGACAAATATATTGAAATGATAAAACTACAAAAGTTTACAAAACTTTTAGAAGCCGACGAGATAATAATGTATTTCAACGATCTAGTGAATGATTCTTTTTTAATTGGATTCTTCTTGACAGGAATAACAGTCTATCACCTTATCATGCTAGCTAGATATTGTACATCTCGATCAATAAAAGTATTAAATATAATTAATTGAAGTTCTTAAAGTTGTGCTTCCCAAAATACGTAAAAGGCATTTTTCAATTAAGAAATGTTACACACAAAATTTTGGGTGACACTCTTACCGCCATTGATTTCCACAACTCTAATTACTAAATAGAACTGTTACTACACTGATTGAAAATATGGTGATTTCTAAATCATGACTAATTAGATTTTATTTTGGAACTAATGGTATCTTGCATAAATGATACATATTTTGATGTTATTTTCTTCTTCTTTCAGTTTAATTAAATGGTTGTCATATACGATAGTATAAGAGCCCGTTTGGTAGCACGAAAATTGGCTGTTTTAACTGATTCTGCTTAAATTTATGAAGTTCTGGCTGAAGTGGCTGCATAGGTTGATTCTGTTGATTTAAGAAAAAATTATTTTTAAAATATATCTTATTAATAAAATAAAGAAAAAATTATATGTAAAAATAGCTAAAATGGTCATCTACAGTAACTTCAGTCAATACAGCCAGAAAAGTAACTCAAATCTTACTTTTTCTGCTTATTACAAAATTCAACGCGCTAAACCAAAAGTTACGTGTTTGGTAAAAAAGTTGGCTGATAAGCCGAAAAACAGTGCTGTCAAACGGCCTCTAAATAAACTTTTCAATAATATTTGTATGAGTGTTACCAAATTCAAGAAAAACTTAAATAAATTTTATTTCAATGTCTCCTACAAATATGAAAACATTTATGGAATTCATTCAATTGGAAGGTCCCAAGAAACTCCCTCCACAAATAAATAAAAACATGTTTGTTTTTCCATTTGTGGCGATAAATAAAAGTCATATATGGTCCATGGTACGTAGTCCATCATTATCTAGACATGAAATGAAAAGATAGATGCAATTGGAACCTAACAAAAATCATGGCAGGTGGGCTTAGGAAACCTTTAATTACGGGAAAAAACAAGTGCAACTGCACATCATACACCACATATGACATATATATTGACGGTAATAATTTATGTATGGGTCCAATGAAAACTGAAAGGACGCCTCACATGTGAAGTCGGGGAAAAAACTATATAATCATCTGGTAATACGGATCGAGTATATATATCATCTCTGTCCCAATTCCTTTATCTTCTTTTGGACACAATTTGATTGATATATACTAAAGTTGACAAAACAATAATTGTTACTTTGGGTTAATATTGAAATATGAAGTAACCAAGTTAAAAAAAACTACCTGAACAGAAATAGTGATATTGTAAAACTCAATACATAACTTAAAATAAAGATAAATTTCTTATATAGAACTAAAACATAAACAAAGTACTCCGTACATATAATCACTGTTTTCTTCTTAAAGTAGGGCTTATTCACTCCTAATAGGAAAAGTTTTATTTAATACTCCGTAACATTATTAGGATGTTTTTACTTGGACTGTAATTTGCTAGTCTGGTCTGGTCTGGTAAGGTCTGGTTTCTTTGTATTTTTATAACTATCCAAGTCTGGTTTGGACTGGTCTGGTCTGGTCTGGTCTGGTCTGGTCTGGTCTAGGGCAAATTACAATCCAAGTAAAAACATCCTCACTAAAAGTTACTAAGTGACAACTTCGATACTCATTTAAAAAATGGGGTATCGTACCTACCATTATATTCAATTGATTGGTTCACATCATGATATCATTTTTAATTTAGATTTAAATAATTCAACTACAACATTCTCATTGGACCATATAGACAAAGGTATGGTACCTTATAAATACCATAGATTCTAGCAAGTTACTAATATACGGAATAGTTAACCCGCCAAGTGATCATTTTTATCTATCATATTCATTTCAGTCACATACAAAGTAAAAGTCAATATTGCTGAATATTACATACCACGTAGTACTCCGTACTTGATGAAACTCAAAGACAACAAATGCAACTATTGATTATGGTATATCGTCATAGGATGGTTTGAAATTGATTCTACGTCTGCTTCTCTTTTATAAATACAAATATAATCAAAACTCATTTTTTCAGAAGTTAGTCTTCCCAATTTCTAAAAAACTGCTTCTATGAGCAATTTGAAGCACAAAAAGGTACTTCTTCATTTTCATCCAAATACTTCAATATATGTTTCTACTCTCTCAAAGAGCAAATACAATTTTAAGAATAGATCCAAACACCCTCTCTATTTCGTTTGACTATACGAATAACTTCATTGTCAGTTGTCACTAGAGTCTAAATTTCAACATGATTATAGTCACTAAATTAATACTATAGTCAATTTATATCAAAAGTCATATTTTGTCCATCATTTTTTCGTTACATATAGGTATATTTTGTAAATTACATTTTTATCCACAAAGTTTATTAGAATATATATTCTGTGATTATTTAATTAAAATTTCAATATTTAATTTCAAAATTTCAATAGTGATAAAAGAAATATTGAAGAGTAAAATGCTCGTCCACAAACGTTACGTTAAGGCCGGAGTGAAGGGCAGACAAGTCGGCAGAAGGTCGTCGGTTGTGTAGACAACTTTTCCCACCCACTTAAATCCTCCTCAAAGGTAGGACCCTTAAAATAAGGCCCTTTAAGAAAAAGACCTCCTTTTCTCCGGTTGGTCGTGGCCGTTGATTCGCGAGATCGACGGTCGTCGTTCTTGACCGCTCTGACCATCTGCATAAATAGGCTGAAAGAACACGTACAAATGTACAACTCATTAGGATAAGAAATTTGGTCCATTGCACATATCCATCCTTGAATAGAATCCTTGCTAGCTAGCTAAGCTCATATATCTGTCCCCGTGCATGGTGGTAGACAAAGACACATACACATATATAAACACCAAATGTATATATATGCCCGTACTAATATACTAATAATAATCAAAACAATGAGTTGAAATGATTAGTTATGTACCATCTCTTCTTGTCTACCTCTCATCTCTCTACACAACCCTAATTGTCCGAATTGGATTTCGCACCTAATTTTTAAAAAATTATTATACTTTCACCCTACCCCGTATGAAAAGACAAATATGCCACTCAATAAGGAATATGTTAAAGACAAACATGAATGTAAATGAAGGAGCATTTTTGTCTTTTAATTTTTGTCAGTTAAAGTGTAAATACAATTATTTTAAAAAAACGGAGTACAAAGCTCAATTTGAACAATAAAATGGACTGCAAATTCAAATTATCCCTTCATATTCCTTCCCTCTAAAAATAATTTACATTGTCATTAAGTTTTTGCAATTTTTATAAACAAATTTTAATAGGGAGAATTTAACTTGATTATTAATCAAACATAAAGCTGAAATCAATTTTGGACAATGGACAACTGACGCATTCCTCGATCCGATCCATTGAATTTTGTCAATTAACTTTGTTACTTTTCTTTTAAAGTCAGTCATTTATAAGTATATATATTCCAAAATCTCAACTACATAATTTTAACTTTTTTATGAACACAAAACTATAAGTTTGATATTAGAAATAATTACATAAATATGACCAAAATAAAGATGGTTTACAAAAATATGATTCATTACTAGAGTAGTAATGAAATCATAGTAATTTATGTTCAAGTTTTGAACTTTAGTTACAACAGCACTACGTTGTAGTAATGAATAGTCATATTTATGTAAATAAGTTTTATTTTAGTAATATTCTCGTAAAAACCCCTTGATATTATTGTCCAATCGGGGCGAAGGTATTACTCCTATATGACTAGTTTAATTGGTCAAGTTATGTACCTCGTCCAAATGTTGACACCTCTTCTAATTTGATTTGATAGATTAAGATAATAGTTACTTTTTGAAAGCGTTTGGTAATGACCCCTAAAAGTGAGATACATAATTAATTCCAAAGTCATTAATTTTCGGTTGATTAATTAAGTCTGAAGGATATGATAGATGTTTCTTTAGAGAAAAGACTAAAAGAGGTCCTTTAAACTAGTTAACGAAGTGTATATAGGTATATGATTTGTAACTAATTAATAGAAAACAAACGAACATGTATATGATACTAATCTTTAATTTCTATGTGAGTTAACTTTTGAAAGAAACCTTAGATCTTAATTTTAACACCTAGCTATCATATAGAGAGTATCTATCTACCTACTAACGTCTAATCTTAATCTCGTGTAATTGATATATACGGAGCAGATACTATGTACTCCATCCATATAATTGGTTGGATGGGAGAGAATTGAGAATATTTGAAATGTTATTATGGCATGCATGAGCTCATGTTTTTTAGCTTTAATTTGGTGTTTACAGCTTGGGTGGGACTTGTTGGAAGTATTAGTCAGCCAGCTATATATCCTGCCCATTAATTAATTAATTAGCCACATAATAATAAGGATATTAATTAATAATTATATTATTAATTAATAATAACGTACAATAATATGTTCATGCAGACGGATAAGGCGTCCATGCTAGATGAAGTGATAGAATACCTAAAGCAACTCCAATCACACATCCAGATGATGAGTAGGATGAACATGTCGCCGGCCGCCATGATGTTCCCGTTGGCGATGCAACAGCAGCTGCAGATGTCGATGATGGCGCCGGCTGCGGCGGCGATGGGGATGAACATGGGGATGGGGATGGCGGGAATGATGGACATGAACAACGTCGCTGGCCGTTCCAACATGGCTGCCGCCATGCCCCAGCTCCTCAATCCTGCAACGGCTGCTGGCGCAGCCGCCGCTTTCCTGCCGATGGCCGCCGCTTGGTGGGAGAACTCCGCCGCCGACCGCATGCCAGCCGCCCCCACAACCGTAATGCCGGACCCTTTAGCCGCGGCTTTTCTTGCTTGCCAATCACAGGTAGCTACTTAGGTTATTTTTCTTCATTTCTTATATGATTAAAAATAGAAATTACTTTGAATATGAATAAGAAGGTTTTGAAATTTCAAATAGAACTTTCATTTTTTGTTACATAAATAAGAGTAATTTCTGCCAAGTTTAGAAAAAACTTAACAGAAACTACCATTTTTAAAGTCAAATAATGTCAAATTTGGCATAAATTACTCTATTTAGGGAATAAAAACTCTACACAAATGACCGGAAACTTATAAGAAATAATTCTATATTTATGACTAAAATGATGGTTGTTTACAAAAATGTGATTAGTAACTAGAATAATGATGAAATTATAGTAATTTAATTTCATCTTTTAAATTTAGGTTTAACTAATAATCGTGTAAATAAGTTTTAACTTATACGGAGTAATTTATTCTATATGAGTAACAATTGAATTCACGAGAGACAAAGTATGATCAAAATACATACTCCGTATAAAACATCATCAATTAAGAATTAAACACTATCTACTCATATATTAGGAATAACCACATCTTTTGATCATACTATTAATAATTGTTTCTGATTTCTTATCTCGCAGTTAGTAACAATATACGTAGTATAAATTTATGAGCAAAACATGGATAGTTCACGAATGAGGAGTACAAATATTTTGGAATTTCAAAATATGAGTTGTATTAGTATATTTTTAATCCCTAAGTAGTAGTAAAAAATCCCTAAATAATACTCCGTAGTATTTATTTCTTGGTTTGGAAAATATTGTCATGTTTAAGGATTGATAATGCCAAAACATGGTGACAATTATTCATATTTGAAGAATAAAAAATATAACAACGCTATTCTGAAATTGACAAACATTTACAAATAATATATAACCACATTCTTGTTTGTATTACTCTTCTATTTTTTGAGCAATTTCTTCAATAACGTATATACTAACATGAGTAACTATTTATGAATTGGCAGCCAATGCAAGCGGATGCTTATAGTAGGATGGCAGCCATGTACCAACAGGTCCAACAGTTTCAACAAGCTTCTGGTGGTCAAAAGAACTGAGCTTTTTTGTTATTTATTTTTAAATTTGAACCTTTTCTACTTCTTGACTTGGTTAAGTTGAAGATGATCGGTGTGATTAAAGGATGCAATATGTGAATTGTGTAGGCTGGAAATCTCTGTATGTGCATCTGCTCTAACCACTTGATCAAGATTCTTTCATTCAATACATATTGAGTTCAATAATGCATATATTTTAATTAAGAGGTTGTATATAAATATTTTGTGATGTGATATAACTAATACATACGGAGTTAATAGTATATATGTACCAATAAATTAATTAGATCAGATCGATTATACAATTTAAATGCTAATTCCAACATCACTGCCTCATATTTGCTTCAATTCATATTACTCTATCAGATCACCCAATGCCTTCAATAGTTCCCTGTCGTTGGATGAGAGGTGTGTATAGACTTTTGTAAATGGATAGTGAAATTTTCTTATTATTTAATCTTGTGAACATATTGAAAAACCACAAAATTATTTATATTGTCTAAAATATTATTCTCAACTACTACAACAACAACATACAAACCTTAATACCAAAAGATTTTGGGTCGACTAACATGAATCGATCCCTGATATCGATGCCAAAAAGAGAACACAGACAATAAAAGAAAAAAGGAAAGGAAAACGAGTAAGATAATACGGATAAGCTAATGACAAATAAATATAAAATAACAATAACATAAGAATATAGAAATATAAAAGATAAAAAGATAAAAGAGGATAAAAGCTAGAAGATAAAAAACATAAACACCTAAAAAGAGAAAGAAAATAAACGATAAAAGATCATTTAATGTTGTCAATATTCTCACAATCTCACTTTCTTTTTTGGGAAAAGTACGGAAAAGATACTCGTAGTTGGACCCATTTTCAGATAGGGTCATGTGTTTCATTTTTTATCAAACTGGTACATGTGTTTGAATTCTGTTATCTAAAGAGAGTCAAGTCGTTAAAAACGCCTGAGAAAGACGGTCAATAGTAACTCCAATTTTCAAAAGTGCCCGAAAAAATTAAAAGAAAAGCATCGAAATATATGCCTCGTTAAGATGACCTCCAAACCATCTTCGCCTTTGGATTTTTCGGATCTGTTTGAATTATTTTTAAAAAATGATTTTGCTAATATCACTTTTCCGATGAACTTTTCGGTGACAAGGGTGGCTGGAAAAAAAAGACGGCCTAGCAGTCGTCTTTTTGAGGCGCACCTTGAAGTATTTTTTTTTTTCGGGCACTTTTGAAAATCGGAGTTACTATTAACCGTCTTTATTAGACGTTTTTAACGGTGTGACCCTCTGGTGTTAGCAGAATTCAAATACATGAACCACTTTGATAAAAAAAAAATTGAAACAGATGACCCTATCTGAAAACGGGTCCAACCACAAGACACAAATACCTCTTATGTACTTTTCCCTTAGAGGAAATTACCAATTTACGGGAGTTTTGAGACTGACAAGCCAAAATCTACGGGACGTCAGTTTAGGTTACCAATTTACGGGAGTCGGATTCTCCAATTCCGACAGGAGGAAATAAAGTAAAAACAAAATTAAAAAACCTAGTCGGAATTGTGTAATCGGACTAGGGGGTGTTCGAAATTTTTTAATGTTTCCATTATTTTATTTGTGTAATCCGAATGAATTAAAAAAAATAAAAAAAAAAAAAATAAAAGAAAACCTAGTCGGAATTGTGTAATCCGACTAGGGGGTGTTCAATTTTTTTTATTGTTTGCTTTGATTTGTGTTCATTCATGTAATATATTTTGGTTGAAATAAAACTGAAAAAACAAATTTATCCCTGTCGGAAATGCTAAATCCGACCAGGGGATATGTTTTAGAAATTTTATTTTGTTTTATTTTAAGAAATTTTATGAAATTTTAAGAAATTTTATAAATAACGCTATATTTTGTTATATTTTAATAAATTTTATAAATTAAATTTTATAAATTAAATTGTTATTTAGAAGTATTTATTTTACTAATTTTTAACTCATTCAATTAGATAAGTTCACATTTTATAATATGACGCGTTTAAGTAATTTTTAATTCATTCAATTAGATAAGCTCACATTTTATATATTTATTTTTTGTAGTATATAATATTATTGAAATTTATGAATGTATCTATTTTGTATAGTCATAAACTCGGGTGAAGAGTCAGACGACCCAGACTGAATGCCTCGATGACATGGTGCTTTGGTCGGCTGAAGCCCAACCTTTTCTTTTTACATCCCTAACTCCAGTCAGAAGAGCCAATTCTGACTCCCGCTTTTTTGGAAACCCTAATTTTTTTCCCGTAAATGGGCAAGGGATGTTGAGGATTTCCGTTATTTTGGGTGTTTTACCAAAATTAGGGGAAATCCTCAACATCCCTTGCCCCTAATTGCATTCAGGGTGTTTATCAACTATGACTCACCTCAAAAACTTGTAACGGGACTCCACCGTTATGAGTTATCTCATCCAGAGGCAAAAACATATGCTCCTTATCTACAAAGGGCCATACATTTTCACAATAAATTCAATCGGTCACTTGCAACATCTGTCGGGGTGTCTGCGAATTTTACTTGCTAAACTTTCTCTATGCGTTTCTACTTGTATTGTTTCTTGTTGAACTTTGTATTGTAACTTGAAATTCTTAATAAACTTGGAAAGTGTTCCCCGGCGCTTTCGCCACCTCTAGTGCCTACTCTGGGATTAAAAAAAAAAGGTATCGTCGTTGTTATGAAAACGTACAAATGGTATCATGGTCTATATTACTCTCCTCCCATTAAGATTGTTCTTTTCTGGGAAATCTCATTTTGATTGTTTCATACCAAATTAGATAAAGTTTGTCTCTTTGAAAATCATTCTAAATTTATTCTTACTTATTAATTCAATTTTGACCACATAAACTCACCTTTTTAATAGCCATGTTGCCTCCTCATATATATCTCGATGTTAGTGAAATGGAGGCAGTATTTATCATTCTCAAACCACATTATTTCACTTGATTTAATTTTTAGCATTTACAATTTAATTCATTTCATATCACATCATTGTCTAGTGAAATACACCCTCAATCCCATAAAATTTTATCAGGATTTTTCTTTGAAATGGCGAAGTTTGACAAATGATATTTCTAATATGAAATATTTACAATATGAAAATTATATGAAAATATTCTTTGTCAAAAATACTTTATTTTATAAAAGTTTAAAAGCTACTACAACTAAATTCTAACAAATATAATAACTAAAATCATTGCTCAAAGTTTAATATCATTAACTGGCAAAGTAAACTTGGTCAAGTTTTATTGGACGGAGAAATTAAAGTATGGGAAAAGAATCATAATAAACAAATTCAATAATTATGTTTGTATACATATAGTCCACTTGTGATGAAACTTCTCCCCGGGATGATTGATTAAATAAAAACATATCAAAATAATAAACGATTAATTTAAACGATATGGTTCATAGATGTAGCCTGTAGGTGTATGCATATTTCCGATTACAACAAATTGTAGTTCAAATGGGCGGAAGAAGTAGAATTAAAATAAATTGTAATTCAATGCATATCTCTATTTCACATAATATATGATTCACTGCAAGAAAAACAACTTTTAACTACGAAAATTAGTGTCGGGTAGAAAATACCCTCATTAATAACACTAGTTTTAGACCTCTTGTGAGGGGGAAAGTCCTCTAACCAAAACATTTATTTTTAATGAGGAATTTTTAAATGGTACTCTCATTATTGATAGTTGAAGTTTTAAAACCCTCATTTTGACTGCCCGCACATAGTTTTTGCAAAGAGCGCTAAAGATAAAAACTATCCCGTCCAAGGACCAAACTCACTAAGGTCTGCTAAAAACCCTATCTAAAAAGAAGGTTATAACTACTCGAATCGACCGACCACACACTACAATGAAATTGATTTATATATGCATAATAAATTTGCCTCTAAAAATAGTAAATTAGCCTCAAATGCCTTTTGGGGGCAATTTAGTGGTTGCCATAAAAAACTCCGTCGCAAAATGTTGGGTGCCTCTAAAATTACTCTTTAGAGGAAAAAAAGACATGCTTCTAAAAAGATATATTTAGAAGCAACCATGCACATTTGCCTCAAAATGTCATTAGAGGCAACTATTTTAAGTTGTTTCAAAATGCTATTAGAGACAACCACATCTAATGACTCGAGATGTTATTAAAGGCACTTTAAATATTTAGTGACAAATATTTCATTTATCCTTGATATAGTAATTATTTCATATATTTTCTAAAATGTCAAAATAGAGTAAAATTTAATATAAAAACTCACAAAAGTAATGCTTCCTTTAAAGTATAACACATAAAACCAAAATAATATTTCATTCATTAACAAAATGTACAAATTACATAAATTATTTGTTCAATCTGAAATGAAACTCACTAGAGTTACTAAAACATTATGATGTAATGAGATAAATCAAAACTGCTTCACAAAAAACAGATTAATTTAGAGAGACCATTCTTCTTCTTCCTCATCATATGCTCCTCCTCCTCATATCATCTTGCTCTTTATTCTGCTCCTTGCCAACCTAGCATATTGTAAATTATATATAAGCATTTTGAACAACTACAAAAGTATTAAGAAAATATTGAACAAATCAATTACTAGTAGGAACATCATGCAAATTAAATTTCTTCATTTTTAGGGAAATGCGGGAATAAGTAAATGTTGACATAAAAAAAAAACCTTTTTCTTTTCTAATTGAAAGTGCTTTGGTGATTCTTGTATCATAGTACTAGTATCCTCATAGATCAAGATTTCTCTATTGCAACAAGTTATTTGTCAAACTAAAGGGGATCATTACCAATTGAAAATATAGTTGTCTTCATCATTTCATATGAAGCATAAAATACTGAGCTGAAAAAGTTATGTGACATTACAGCTAAATAACGAATAGCCTGATTTGTTTTGGAAAAAAAGTATTGCAAAGGGCTCATGTCAACTAGATCAATAGAAAATGTAATTCTAATTCACTGTTAAATAGTCACTAAATTACTACAAATTGGATAATACATTTCTTATAAAAACATAGTCATAATGCTCAAGAGATCAAATTTGCAATAACATAAAAGAACAAACAAACACAGCTCAACAGACACTTGGGAGAATCTGGCAATTACAACCTTTAATTCTTCTCTCCCACCCATAAAGACCACAGGGAGACAATGAACATAGTTTTTTAATAAACTTTGCTTACCCTCAGCGGAGGCTACTAATCTTTTTGTTTATTAAATTCATCATCTCCAAGCTAACCATGTCTGGTGTAAGAATCCAAATTAGCTGAATTAGTTCTTTGATTACAGGTTTCTCGACCTCTGGGATTCTCTGATTTTGGATTGTTCTTAGATTGTCCCCTAATGTTTCTTTTATTTTGCAGGTTCTCAGAGTCTTCTTTTACCAGACCATCTAAATCACCATGTTTCACATCCATTGTTTTTATTAATTTTTACACTTCTCCTATGCATAGAATAATTTTGAGTTTGATTTTGGTTCTGAAATTAGTATGTAATTGGCTACAATTTCTGCTATTCGTGACACTTCCCGTAAAATTTCAATTGGATTCTGTATGTCATTATTCATTAACTCTACCTTTGATTGTATTTGCTCCAGATTCGCATCTACTAAAAATATGAAAATTGGAATATTGTAGAGTTTAGTTTCTGAGTGATTGAACTTAACCTTTTGCAATTCTAACTCTCAAGACCAATCATGGATAAAAAGGGTGAAAAAAAAAAACAAAAAAGAAATGTTTGTTTATGTGTGTAATTTTAACTAGTTTTATTTGTTGTTGTTTGGGAAATTACACACTTTTGGTGTAATACTTTATTTTTCTTATTTGTTTGTAATTTGTATAGATTAGGATTATTCTGAGCTTTAACTAGGTAATTAAAGATCATCATGATGATCTTTTGAAAGGTGAAGGAAAGTGCAAGGGAACAAGATCAGATGAAAATTTGGGGAAAAAGTCATTTACCCCATCGGGTAAAGCATATACCCGATCGGGTATTGACTTGATCCGAAGATCAAATCTGATTTGGAGGCAATTTAACGTGCATGGTGAAGATTTGGCAAAGATTTGTCTTTCACCCGATCGGTTAAATCAAAAACCCGATCGGGTAAGATGTGACAAATGAAGGTTCCGGGCAATTTCTCAGGAAACCCGATCGGGTTTCTCAAAAACCCGGTCGGGTAAATGTCCCTGGCAGCTCCAAACACCTATAAATACACCCCCTTTCCTTCCCATTTGATCACCAATTCACATATACTCTTTAGCTCAGTTTAGATTAGTGTTTTCTTTATATTTACTATCATGTTTTGTCTCCAAATGAGGAGCTAAACTCTTCCATCTTGGTTTTGCTACTTTGAAGCTTAATGAATTTGTAAGTTGTGAGTTATTCTCTTTAATCTTCTTCCTTGAATATTAATTCTTCTTTTAAATACTATTTCTATATCAATGTTGGGGAGTGTTACTAAGATGACAATTAGTTAACATCTTGACATTAATTAGTTATAGTAATAGTTATTTCTTCCTCTACGTTAATGTTGAGTTTAATCCAACACGATATAGTAAATGTATGTATAAATGTGTATGAACAACTCAGTTTTTACGTGGAAACCCGAAAGGGAGAAAACCACGGGACTTTTTAGGCTAATGTCCAAGCCCTCTCATTCTCATTAGACTCTCCTCACCATTACATAGTACAATTTGAGCTCCATTAATGGAATCTTGCAAAACTATTCTAAAGGAAGAAGGAAGAAGGAAAAGATCCTTTACATGGAGGGAAAACCTCCTATAAATAGGGGAATGGGAGAAGGGGCTCTCCACCCTAATGGGCCAAACGGGCCGATGTCGGGCCTAATGGCCAAAGTGGGCCAGAATGGGCCGAAATGGACCTAGCTGCTCGGGCTCCGTACTGGATAATGTCTTGGGCTCCTGAACAGTAATAGGCCGGGATAATATATCCCAACACAAGTCCCCCAGTTTCTTGAGTAGTGAGAGTGCGAGTCTGCTCGAGAAAATATACTCTTGCCTGCGCTTTACCTCGGTCTAGCTGGAACCTGTGTCTTCGAATAATCATAATATATGAGTGGATGTCCACACTCCTGAACGTAATCTGCCGGTGAGGCACCCCCGTTCCCGACGGGGTTGGGCGAAGGGTGCTCCTCCACGGGCACGCTCCCCCTGAATGCATCAGGCGAGAGTAAAGGACTCTGACTCGAGCTTTCCAACGGAGAAGCTTAGAGGTCCATGCATCTATAACCGACGTCGCGGTACTGTCAAAACATGATGCACGTGTGTATGTATGAATGTATGAGGTATGATGCATGAATGCATGTAATGTATGGGTGCAATGTATGAGAGAGGGAATGCAAGATGTGATAGGAGCGGTAGCTCTCAATGAGAACTCGAGCATGTCAGCGCCGAGAGGCAGACATGCTGCATAAGATGTGACACCGCTCCCGAAGGTCCTTGAAAATTTGATTTGAATATTCAAAGCTTATGTATTGGATTTCTGATTCCCAAACATTTTGTAAAACGATCAATGTTCTACGTAGTGCATGGTTGAATATCGTACTGTTCAAACTCGTACATTAGTGTCGGGTTTCGCAATACTTACTCGGGACTTATTAATAAATAAAAGAGCCCAACATTATCTATATAAGTGATCGAAGGATTAAAGAAGAATACAAATGCCTATAACCCCATCTTTGGCATTTTTGAGCTAAATAATGGGAGTAGGATTTTCCTTCTATAACATCCATCAAGTAAATTATTGGGATGAGCCTACACATATTGGAGGTCAATAATGTGATTTAGGAAGTTGACTTGTTCTAAATAAATTAGGATGAGTACAAAAAGACATCTTTGACAAAGATAAAACAATAGGACCCATCTTCCCATTTTTTGGAAGTATTGGTAGATATTTTGGACCCCAAATTGATTGGGATTAATTGGGGGGCATCCCATGTGGCTTGAGTACCTGCAAGACAAGGAAAATGTGTGAGAAGACTCACCTTGGCCGCACCACATGGAGGAGCATTGCCATGACACAATTGGGATCAAATTTTGGGGCCACCACCACTGTTTTCGCACAAACAGGTGGGCTGTTTTGTCTCCCTTCATGAGTGAGGTTATACTCGGCCAAATGAGGTGTATAAGGTGTCCTTGGATAGCTTTTGAAGTCTAGTTTTATAATTGAGTGGTCTCAATTCGAGAGGAGAGAGAAATCATCCAAAAATCGATCTGGAACGAGCAGAGGTCTGTGAACTCGAGCTGTGAGAGTGCTGAGACTATTTGGTCGATATCTCGAGTTTTACAAATCCAATTAAGGCGTGTGAGATACCCACAGAAATCTCTCAAGACGAGGAATCTGTGAAGGTCTGGTTTGCAGGAATCGGAGTTGTGGAAGGCTTCCAAATCGTCCGAGCAAAACACAACCTCGCAGGAGAGGATTTAATCTTCTAAAAGTGAGTTTTTAACCCCAAAACTTTACTTTTCATTTTCCATATGATATGAACGATTGGGGGGACTATCATACACTAATCCAAGTGTATAATATGTCCTTATAAAGTTATTTTATTGATGTAAAGGTTAGATACTAACCTAGAACAAATCTTGGAAAAACTAGGAAACGAGTTGACCGGGAAACACCCGTTCTAGGGGCTGTTTTCGTATCAACGATTAAGGGTTGAACTAGCACTTTGAGGAGGCTGTTTAACACTCATATTTGAGCAAGGAATCAGTTCCAAATCCACCTTGACCAAAGCTTTGACCATTGGACCAAGAAGGGAAAGTTTAAAGCTCAATTGAGGTGAGGATTGACATCTAATTGCTTACAACTTGTAGGTTAAGCATGAGATTACCTAAATGCTTAAATCATGATTTTTCATGGATTATGATGATTATATATTGATGAAATATTGATATAGTTGCCAAAGAATGAAATTTGAAATGATTTGAGAAGGTATGAATAATATGAGATTAAATGAGTATAAATGAACTATTTGTGAAAATGGGCATTTTTCTCATGTATGAATTATGTGGATACATAAATAAATATTTGTGTATTGAGAATGAATGTTTAAGTTGCTGCTACATAATTATAAATATGTAGAGAATTACAAATAACAAGGATAATGGTTTGATAACAATAATCTTAATAGTATTGAAATACTAGTTAATGATTATTGGGATTTATTGATTAAATTGATCCTAGGGATTGGATTGTATGAAAGGTGCTTGAATATAGTTCAAGTGTATATAATAACTTAGTATGGAACTAAGGTTAAGTTATGGGAAGTCTTTAAGGATGACCCATGGTAGTTTAATGATATGTCAATTCTAGGCATAGGGTTGCTTGAGAATTGGACCTTAATGCATGGTGATGTGATAGAGCCGAGCTCTAGAATGCATGTAAGGGTAGACTTGGAGTCTATGTATTGTATAGCTAGAGCCGAGCTCTAGGACTTGCGTGGTGATGTGGTAGAGCCGAGCTCTAGAACGCAAGGTAAGGAAATTGACCCGAGGTATATGAATTGTATGGTGATGTGGTAGAGCCGAGCTCTAGAATACAGTGTCATGTACTAGGGTTGGACTCTAGGAGTTGTCGTGGCTTATAGCCACGGGGTTGGGAATGGTGATTTCCAAATGAAAACGGGCCCACGGGCCGACTACTTGACTTTTATATAAAGTAAGTATATTTTTAAACGGGGTAACTTAGGGTTACAATCATAATGTACTATCACCCTACTTGAGGGTCTTGTGTTTGAAATACTTGTTGTATATCTATTAGATGCCTGCCACACCAGTACTTTATAGCCGTATAGAGTACTGACCCCTTCGGGGGCGTCCCACCACCATTTCAGGTTGAGGCTAGAGCTTGCTTCCTGTGCTCGTTGATCGAGTGATTCCTTGGAGAGAAGACTTGGTTCGTGCTTCCTCCATTCTGTTTTTAAATAATATTAAACTTGCTCATGGATATTTTACTTTAGAGCCTGCGTGCTCATGTTTGCCCTGTGTGGCCCTTTTGTTTTAAACAATGTTTTCCGCTGCGTATTCAATTGTTTGTTATGTATGTTTATGGATGACTTATGTGTGAATGATATTCATGATGCCTTGTATAATATGAATGCGTTGGACTGCGGTTGACTATTCGTATTGTACGGCGGGTTGTTGACGTGTCCGGGGAGGTCCGGGGCGTGACAATTAAGTTGGTATCAGAGCCTTAGTCCATAAACTTCATAATGAAGTCTCAAAATTCTCTTTTGAAAAGATTTTGAAAACCATGAGCATAGAAGTTTTGTACTTGGAGAGCTTTTGGTACTTGGGTTGCAAGGTCTCTAATTGTTAAGATGGTACCCTTAGCAATTGGTATGGCGGTGACTCGAGCCAAAATGTGTCTTAAGTACCTATCCGTCAATTGACATTTGATACGAGTCTAACGACTCTTTCCAAATTTCTTTCAGAAATGGACCGTGGTGGCAGGATTACTAGGAGAAACCCGACGGACCGTGTACCAGTGGGGACTGGACAGGGCAGTCGAAGGACCTCTAGGGCATCTAGAGGAGCTGGCCGTGGAGGCCGATCACAGACCGTGAGTGACGGTCATGTTGACACGGAAAGTGAGACCTACTGGTCCTATGAGGACTCGACTTACCAACCGGAGACAGAGCCGGTTGAGACCCCTTATGAAGGGGATGATGACGATGTGAGTGATGAGGAGGAAAATGGCTCCTTAGCACGGATCGAAGCACTACTCCAACAATACCACAGGGAGCGTGAAGAGAGGAGGCAACGCCGAAGACGCCGAGCGGGGCAACCTTCGGGCATGGCTTCAAGAGGAGGAAGTCATGGTGCATCTAGAGTCCATGTGGAACCACATGGAGGCCAAAATGATGGAGGTCCAACCATAAGGATCTCCAAATTTATCAAAGAAGCAAGGGATTTGGGGTGCAAACCCTTTGATGGAGCAGGGGACATTTCAGTTGCAGCACAATGGATCAAGAGGCTAAATGAAGCAGCCCTTGACATGCAAATCGCGCCGAATCTCAAACTGAGAATTGCGGTAAGATTGCTCGAGGGGATGGCATCCAAGTGGTGGGATGGAACCAAGAGCAAGTACGGTGAGACCGTCGTTTGGGAGGATTTCCAACGGGAGTTCTTTGCCCAATATTATTCGGATTTTGAAGTGAACAAGAAGGTGAGGGAATACACCCTCCTAACCCAAGGGGGTAACATGACAGTGAAGGAACTTGAGTACAAGTTCCGGGATCTCGCCGATTACATACCGGAGTATGCTTGTGACGAGAACCGAATGGTAAACCACTTTTGGGATGCTCTTGACTTGGAGATACGTGATAGGGCAACACAATTGCCTAATATGACTTTCGCCCAAGTGGTTGACCAAGCGTTGAAGGGGGAGAAACAGTGGGAGGAGAGGAAGAAGAGAGACGCCGAGGAGGCGAAAAAGAGAAAGTGGGAGAGTCATGGCTCCCAAGGTTCCAACAAAAAGGGGAACCATGGAGGAGGATCTTTCCGGACACCGCCGCCACCGTCTAGGGGGAACCAAGGCCCGAGTGGGCAAGGCTCGAGGTCACAAACCTCGGTGATAACTCGTTGCAACAATTGCAAGAAGAATCACTCCGGTAAGTGTCGCGACCCCCCTAGATGTTTCCAATGTGGGGATGCCGGACACTTGAAGGCGCATTGCCCCCAGTTGGGTGGGGCAAGGACATCAGGACCAAGTAGCGGGGCTGCGGGAAGTAGAAACCAAGCCGGGGGTTCCCAAGTAACCAGGGGGCAAGGGGGAGCAAGCGCGAGTAACGCGCCGTCCGTGAATCAAGGAAGGACGCAAGCTAGAGTCTACGCAATGACCGAGGCTGATGCTCGGGCTAATCCCGACTCCGTCGCTGGTAATACACTTATTTTGGGCACTTTTAGGCTTACTTAGATCATGTACGTCGTTGGGATTGAGTGCGGGCCACCCCGGGGCCAAAACCGGGTGAGTTAGGCCAAATCAGGCTGGAAACAGCCACTGCCGGCCAGGCACGCCCGCAGGCACGCCGTGCGTGGCACCGTGCCTGGGAGGCAGTGGCCTCGCTGAGGAGTTCCGGCCAGGCACGGCTGCAGGCACGCCGTGCGTGGCACCGTGCCTGGGAGGCAGTGGCCTCCTCGAGGAAATTCGGCCAGGCACGGTCGCAGGCACGCCGTGCGTGGCACCGTGCCTGGGAGGCAGTAGCGCCCAGGGCTTTTTCCCAAGCCAGGCACGACCGTGCCTACCCCAGGCACGCCGTGCCTGGCACCCAGAATGCCGAAACCTGATTTTTTCGCACCGTTTTGCGACATTAAGACCTTTTCTTGATCCCAAACACATGTGTGAACATAATAAACCTCTCTAAATGTGTAAGAATGGTAGGAAAGGTATCTTACATGACTTATAAATGTAGGAACACTAAAGATTAATGGGAAGGATGCGCGAATCCTTATCGATACCGGGGCGCAACGTTCATTTGTGAATGAAGCGTTCGCCAAGAGGTTGGGAGTGCAATCCGCACCATTGATGCAAACCTTAGTGGTGTCAACACCACTAGGGGATGACGTGGAAAGAACTTGTTACTATCCATCTTGTGGAGTGGAGATTAATGGTCAAACCTTGACATGTGACTTCGTACCGCTGAGCATGATTGAATTCGATGCAATCCTAGGGATGGATTGGCTAGAAAGGAACCATGCTAGGATAGATTGCTACACGAAGGTTCTTGAACTCGAAGGCAATGATGGGGAGACCCTACGCTTCGAGGGCGATCGAGGGAGATCAAATAGCTGCATCATATCCGCCGTGAGAGCGAGAAGTATGATGAGAAAGGGATGCCACGCATATCTAGCATACGTGGTTGACAAAACCAAAGAAGAAACGAACATCGATGATGTGAGGGTGGTTTGTAAGTATCCGGATGTCTTCCCTAAAGACTTACCGGGGCTTCCACCTGATAGGGAGATTGAATTTGTGATCGAGGTCGAGCCGGGTACCAAACCAATATCCATACCGCCATATCGTATGGCACCCGCTGAACTTAACGAGTTGAAAACCCAATTGCAGGAGCTTTTGGATAATGGTTTCATTAGACCCAGCCACTCCCCGTGGGGAGCACCAGTTCTTTTTGTGAAAAAGAAAGATGGGACACTCCGAATGTGCATTGACTATCGTCAACTGAACAAGGTCACAATCAAGAATAGGTATCCTTTGCCTAGGATTGATGTCTTATTTGACCAACTACGAGGAGCAACCGTGTTTTCAAAGATTGACTTGAGGTCGGGGTACCACCAATTGAAGATTAAGGAGGATGACATACCAAAGAGTGCTTTCCGCACAAGGTACGGGCATTTTGAATTCCTTGTTATGTCGTTTGGGTTAACAAACGCCCCGGCGGCATTCATGGACTTGATGAACCGAGTATTTCATAAATACTTGGACCAATTCGTGATTGTGTTCATAGATGACATCTTGATTTACTCAAGGAGTGAAGAAGAGCATGAAGAGCACTTGATACTTGTTCTTGAGACACTACGGGAGAAGCAACTCTATGCCAAATTTTCTAAATGTGAATTTTGGCTAAAGGAGATTGGCTTCCTCGGGCACGTGGTTTCTGGATCGGGAATTGCTGTTGATAACAAGAAGATAGAAGCCATTACCGAATGGGAGAGGCCAAAGAACGTCAAGGAAATTCGTAGTTTCCTTGGATTGGCAGGCTACTACAGGAAGTTCGTGGAGAAGTTCTCTGTTTTGGCATCACCATTGACGAAGCTCACTCGTAAAGGAGCTAAGTTTGTATGGGATGACAAATGTGAGAAGGGGTTCATGGAACTAAAGAAACGATTGACCGAGGCACCGGTACTTGCATTACCCAAACAGGGTGTGGGGTACGATGTCTATAGTGATGCGAGCATCCAAGGGCTTGGGTGTGTACTGATGCAGAATGGGAGGGTAATCGCCTATGCTTCACGACAGTTGAAGAAGCATGAGGTGAATTATCCTACTCATGATTTGGAGCTGGGGGCAGTGGTGTTTGCACTGAAGATATGGAGACATTATCTCTACGGGGAGACATGTCACATATACACTGATCACAAGAGCTTGAAATACGTGTTTACTCAGAAAGAGCTAAACATGAGACAGAGACGGTGGATGGAGCTGATAAAAGACTACCATCTAGTGATAGAGTATCACCCAGGCAAGGCAAACGTGGTGGCAGATGCTTTGAGCCGGAAGAGCTCGTCTGGGGCATTGCTAGCTAATTTGAGGGCATTAAGAGCCCAACTGGAGGTAACCAGCGATGGTGCCTTATTGGCACGATTTGAGGTGAGACCTACTTTACTTGATGAGATCAAGAAGGGTCAGGAAGCCGACGAAGAACTTATGAAGGTCCGGGGACGCATGCAAGCGGGGCCGGTGGAGGATTTCAGGGAAAGAGATGATGGTCTCTTGTTATTTCGTGACCGAGTGTGTGTACCGTCAGATGATGAGCTCCGAAAGTCCATCTTAGAGGAGGCTCATTCATCGGCTTATGCCATGCACCCGGGGGGCACGAAAATGTACCGTGATTTGAAAGAAAGTTACTGGTGGTCTGGAATGAAGAGGGAAATAGCCGAGTACATCAGTCGGTGCCTTACTTGTCAACAAGTTAAGGCAGAACATCAGCACCCAGCAGGCTTATTGCAACCACTCTCCATCCCTGAATGGAAGTGGGAGCACGTGACTATGGATTTCGTGGTAGGCTTACCACGGACTATCAGGAACTATGACGCGGTTTGGGTCGTTGTGGATAGGCTCACAAAGAGTGCACACTTCTTGCCTATCAACACTACCTACCCACTCGAGAGGTTAGCCAAATTGTACACGGATGAGATCGTGAGGCTACATGGGGTTCCAGTGACCATTGTATCCGATAGAGACCCACGATTCACATCACGTTTTTGGCCGAAATTTCAGGAGTCTATGGGAACGAGGTTGAAGTTCAGTACTGCTTTCCACCCACAGACGGACGGGCAGTCTGAAAGAGTCATACAGATCTTAGAAGACATGCTGAGGGCTTGTGCATTAGAGTTCCAAGGAAGTTGGGACAACCACTTAGCACTTGTGGAGTTTGCCTATAACAACAGTTATCAGGCAAGCATCGGCATGCCTCCATACGAGGCATTGTATGGGAGGAGATGCCGTACACCGTTATGCTGGGATGAGGTTGGCATGGCCAAACTCGAGGGTACTGAGTTGGTTGAGGTCACCAAGTCAAAGGTGAAGTTGATTCGAGAGAGACTCAAGGCGGCTCAGGATAGGCAAAAGAGTTATGCGGATAAGCGTCGAAGGACCTTAGAGTTTAAGGTTGACGACGAGGTATTCCTGAAAGTTTCTCCTTGGAAAGGAATCATTCGATTCCAAACCCGAGGAAAGCTTAACCCACGATATATAGGCCCATTCAGAATTATAGAGAGGGTTGGGGCCGTAGCATATCGTCTACAGTTGACTCCTGAGTTGGAGAAGATTCATAATGTATTTCACGTGTCCATGCTTAAGAAGTATGTGCATGATCCTTCTCATGTGTTGGAGAAGCCGCCCGTGGAGGTACGTGAAGATTTGAACTATGCCGTACAACCGGTAAGAGTTATTGACAGAAAAGTGAAGAAACTGAGGAGTAAAGAAGTTCCAATGGTTAAAGTCCTTTGGAAGAGTGACCGGGTCGAAGAAGAGACTTGGGAAACAGAAGCCTTGATGAGGAAGCAGTATGCATTCCTATTTGAGTAAAGCTGTGAATTTCGGGGACGAAATTCCTGTTAAGGGGGGGTGAACTTGTGACACCGCTCCCGAAGGTCCTTGAAAATTTGATTTGAATATTCAAAGCTTATGTATTGGATTTCTGATTCCCAAACATTTTGTAAAACGATCAATGTTCTACGTAGTGCATGGTTGAATATCGTACTGTTCAAACTCGTACATTAGTGTCGGGTTTCGCAATACTTACTCGGGACTTATTAATAAATAAAAGAGCCCAACATTATCTATATAAGTGATCGAAGGATTAAAGAAGAATACAAATGCCTATAACCCCATCTTTGGCATTTTTGAGCTAAATAATGGGAGTAGGATTTTCCTTCTATAACATCCATCAAGTAAATTATTGGGATGAGCCTACACATATTGGAGGTCAATAATGTGATTTAGGAAGTTGACTTGTTCTAAATAAATTAGGATGAGTACAAAAAGACATCTTTGACAAAGATAAAACAATAGGACCCATCTTCCCATTTTTTGGAAGTATTGGTAGATATTTTGGACCCCAAATTGATTGGGATTAATTGGGGGGCATCCCATGTGGCTTGAGTACCTGCAAGACAAGGAAAATTTGTGAGAAGACTCACCTTGTCCGCACCACATGGAGGAGCATTGCCATGACACAATTGGGATCAAATTTTGGGGCCACCACCACTGTTTTCGCACAAACAGGTGGGCTGTTTTGTCTCCCTTCATGAGTGAGGTTATACTCGGCCAAATGAGGTGTATAAGGTGTCCTTGGATAGCTTTTGAAGTCTATTTTTATAATTGAGTGGTCTCAATTCGAGAGGAGAGAGCAATCATCCAAAAATCGATCTGGAACGAGCAGAGGTCTGTGAACTCGAGCTGTGAGAGTGCTGAGACTATTTGGTCGATATCTCGAGTTTTACAAATCCAATTAAGGCGTGTGAGATACCCACAGAAAGCTCTCAAGACGAGGAATCTGTGAAGGTCTGGTTTGAAGGAATCGGAGTTGTGGAAGGCTTCCAAATCGTCCGAGCAAAACACAACCTCGCAGGAGAGGATTTAATCTTCTAAAAGTGAGTTTTTAACCCCAAAACTTTACTTTTCATTTTCCATATGATATGAACGATTGGGGGGACTATCATACACTAATCCAAGTGTATAATATGTCCTTATAAAGTTATTTTATTGATGTAAAGGTTAGATACTAACCTAGAACAAATCTTGGAAAAACTAGGAAACGAGTTGACCGGGAAACACCCGTTCTAGGGGCTGTTTTCGTATCAACGATTAAGGGTTGAACTAGCACTTTGAGGAGGCTGTTTAACACTCATATTTGAGCAAGGAATCAGTTCCAAATCCACCTTGACCAAAGCTTTGACCATTGGACCAAGAAGGGAAAGTTTAAAGCTCAATTGAGGTGAGGATTGACATCTAATTGCTTACAACTTGTAGGTTAAGCATGAGATTACCTAAATGCTTAAATCATGATTTTTCATGGATTATGATGATTATATATTGATGAAATATTGATATAGTTGCCAAAGAATGAAATTTGAAATGATTTGAGAAGGTATGAATAATATGAGATTAAATGAGTATAAATGAACTATTTGTGAAAATGGGCATTTTTCTCATGTATGAATTATGTGGATACATAAATAAATATTTGTGTATTGAGAATGAATGTTTAAGTTGCTGCTACATAATTATAAATATGTAGAGAATTACAAATAACAAGGATAATGGTTTGATAACAATAATCTTAATAGTATTGAAATACTAGTTAATGATTATTGGGATTTATTGATTAAATTGATCCTAGGGATTGGATTGTATGAAAGGTGCTTGAATATAGTTCAAGTGTATATAATAACTTAGTATGGAACTAAGGTTAAGTTATGGGAAGTCTTTAAGGATGACCCATGGTAGTTTAATGATATGTCAATTCTAGGCATAGGGTTGCTTGAGAATTGGACCTTAATGCATGGTGATGTGATAGAGCCGAGCTCTAGAATGCATGTAAGGGTAGACTTGGAGTCTATGTATTGTATAGCTAGAGCCGAGCTCTAGGACTTGCGTGGTGATGTGGTAGAGCCGAGCTCTAGAACGCAAGGTAAGGAAATTGACCCGAGGTATATGAATTGTATGGTGATGTGGTAGAGCCGAGCTCTAGAATACAGTGTCATGTACTAGGGTTGGACTCTAGGAGTTGTCGTGGCTTATAGCCACGGGGTTGGGAATGGTGATTTCCAAATGAAAACGGGCCCACGGGCCGACTACTTGACTTTTATATAAAGTAAGTATATTTTTAAACGGGGTAACTTAGGGTTACAATCATAATGTACTATCACCCTACTTGAGGGTCTTGTGTTTGAAATACTTGTTGTATATCTATTAGATGCCTGCCACACCAGTACTTTATAGCCGTATAGAGTACTGACCCCTTCGGGGGCGTCCCACCACCATTTCAGGTTGAGGCTAGAGCTTGCTTCCTGTGCTCGTTGATCGAGTGATTCCTTGGAGAGAAGACTTGGTTCGTGCTTCCTCCATTCTGTTTTTAAATAATATTAAACTTGCTCATGGATATTTTACTTTAGAGCCTGCGTGCTCATGTTTGCCCTGTGTGGCCCTTTTGTTTTAAACAATGTTTTCCGCTGCGTATTCAATTGTTTGTTATGTATGTTTATGGATGACTTATGTGTGAATGATATTCATGACGCCTTGTATAATATGAATGCGTTGGACTGCGGTTGACTATTCGTATTGTACGGCGGGTTGTTGACGTGTCCGGGGAGGTCCGGGGCGTGACATAAGAGACGTTCGTCGCCATCCTGAAAGGGATGGGCGACCCTAACGTGAGCCAGACACGATGGCGCTGGGGCGCTGATCGTGCTGCATAAGAGACGTTCGTCGCCATCCTGAAAGGGATGGGCGACCCTAACGTGAGCCAGACACGATGGCGCTGGGGCGCTGATCGTGCTGCATAAGAGACGTTCGTCGCCATCCTGAAAGGGATGGGCGACCCTAACGTGAGCCAGACACGATGGCGCTGGGGCGCTCATCGTGCTGCATAAGAGACGTTCGTCGCCATCCTGGAAGGGATGGGCGACCCTAACGTGAGCCAGACACGATGGCGCTGGGGCGCTGATCGTGCTGCATAAGAGACGTTCGTCGCCATCCTGGAAGGGATGGGCGACTGTAAGGAATAAATGTAATTAGATTTTGATGATGCTATAGGATCAGAATTTTAGAGTACCCCAAATTAGATTTTGTGTATTAGAAATTTTCAATTGTAAGTATTAGTGTAGTCGACGATCAGAGTTGCTCTACTTTGGATCAGATCAGAAGTGCATCAGAATTGCTCGACCAGACTTGCTCTATGAGAACTGCTCCATCAGAGTTCTCTTACCAGAGGTTCATCAGAGTTGCACCATGAGAGTTGCTGATAAACTTGGACATCTGATAGCCGATGAGAACTACAGATCAGAAGTACTCATCAGCGGACCTATCAGAGTCAGAGTTTAGTCAGAGATCAGAAGACCATCAGAACTCAACTCATCAGATAACCATCAGAATCTAACATATCAGAAGAACCTGATCAGAGCTCGACGAACACTCAGACGATTTCAAGCAACATCCAACAGCTATGAATTCAACGGGTAAAAACATCCAACGGCTAGAAGACTGTGCATGAAAGGAAAGCATTTAATGCACATTAAATGAGCCTGATACGCTGAAGGATTGATTGCAAATGATTGACCAAGGAATCCGGGAAGATATATTAGAAAAATAGAAACCTTCCAAAACGACGGTCAAGTCAACTGTACGCGCATTCAATGTAGTTGTCCCCTCCTCCAACGGGCAGACAACCTCGGTATATAAGCTACTTTCCGAAGAACTGGAAAATAACTTTGCTACAACTCTTGAAAATCATCATTCAAGCTCTCTTGAGATTCAAACTCTACAACCTTCAACAAGACAAGCTTACGTTGGGAAGATTCAAACTCCAAATCTTTCATCCCCAACTAACGAGCAAAGTTCATCCTGTTCTTCAACTCTTCAAGAACTTCTTCAAACATCATTTGTGACGAAGCTAGTTGGAGGAAAAACTCTGTTTTTCAAAGGATCTTCTGAAAAGAAGGGCGTCCAAGTAACTGCAGTAGTGAAGTGGTAATACTTCCGGGAAGCTGAGTGAAAGGACCAGCCATCGGGACGTGGAACTGCATCCTGGGTGGCAGCTAGGCTTGAAGAAGGCGTGGAGAACTTCTTAAGTGCTAGGAACTAAGCTTTGTAACCGATCTACTTCAAAGCTAGTGGAACAGTGGACTAGAGGAACGAGTTGTTCCTTGAACCACTATAAAAATATCCGGTGTCATTTACTTTACTGCATTTTTCTTTATTTCTGCGCTTAGGATATTAACTGATTAACTCTAAGACTTGGAATCTGTGTTCAGCAGATCTTGTTTTCAGAGTTATCAGAAAGGCATCTGCCTTAGTGTTTCTGAGGCTACCCGGACAGATCAGAATCCGCTGCCAAGGCCAGTTCTGATATCAGAACCAGCCTTTCTCTGTCACCAGAATCAGACCTTCTCTGATAAGTCATTTTGGACTTAGAGAAAATTTTGAAAAATCAATCAGTCTATTCACCCCCCCCTCTAGACTGATTACCATATTTAACGGGACCAACAGCGACCCTAACGTGAGCCAGACACGATGGCGCTGGGGCGCTGATCGTGCTGCATAAGAGACGTTCGTCGCCATCCTGGAAGGGATGAGCGACCCTAACGTGAGCCAGACACGATGGCGCTGGAGCGCTGATCGTGCTGCATGAGAGACGTTCGTCGCCATCCTGAAAGGGATGGGCGACCCTAACGTGAGCCAGACACGATGGCGCTGGGGCGCTGATCGTGCTGGATAAGAGACGTTCGTCGCCATCCTGGAAGGGATGGGCGACCCTAACGTGAGCCAGACACGATGGCGCTGGGGCGCTGATCGTACTGCATAAGAGACGTTCGTCGCCATCCTGGAAGGGATGGGCGACCCTAACGTGAGCCAGACACGATGGCGCTGGGGCGCTGATCGTGCTGCATGAGAGACGTTCGTCGCCATCCTGAAAGGGATGGGCGACCCTAACGTGAGCCAGACACGATTGCGCTGGGGCGCTGATCGTGCTGCATAAGAGACGTTCGTCGCCATCCTAGAAGGGATGGGCGACCCTAACGTGAGCCAGACACGATGGCGCTGGGGCGCTGATCGTGCTGCATAAGAGACGTTCGTCGCCATCCTGGAAGGGAATGGGGCGATCCGAACGTGAAAGAGACACGATGGCGCTGAGAAGCCGATCGTGCTGCACAAGACGGTCGTCGCCATCCTGGAGGGAATGGGCGAGCCGAACCGTGAAGCCAGGTACGATGGCGCTGAGGGGCCGATCGCACTGCATAAGACGTTCGTCGCCATCCTGGAGGGAATGGAGCGATCCGAACGTGAAAGAGACACGGTGGCGCTGAGAGGCCGATCGTGATGCATAAGACGGTCGTCGCCATCCTGGAGGGAATGGGCGAGCCGAACCGTGAAGCCAGGTACGATGGCGCTGAGGGGCCGATCGCACTGCATAAGACGTTCGTCGCCATCCTGGAGGGAATGGAGCGATCCGAACGTGAAAGAGACACGATGGCGCTGAGAGGCCGATCGTGATGCATAAGACGTTCGTCGCCACCCTGGAGGGGATGGACGAGCTGAACGTGAGCTGGGTACGATGGCGCTGAGGGGCCGATCGTACCGCATAAGACGGTCGTCGCCATCCTGGAGGGAATGGGCGAGCCGAACCGTGAAGCCAGGTACGATGGCGCTGAGGGGCCGATCGCACTGCATAAGACGTTCGTCGCCATCCCGGAGGGAATGGGGCGATCCGAACGTGAAAGAGACATGATGGCGCTGAGAAGCCGATCGTGCTGCACAAGACGGTCGTCGCCATCCTGGAGGGAATGGGCGAGCCGAACCGTGAGCCAGGTACGATGGCGCTGAGGAGCCGATCGCACTGTATAAGACGTTCGTCGCCATCCTGGAGGGAATGGGGCGATCCGAACGTGAAAGAGACACGATGGCGCTGAGGGGCCGATCGTGATGCATAAAAATAGTGATAATCGTGAGTGGTAATCGTCTCGCGGCCCTCGACCGTGCTGGTGATGTGTCAAGTCTCTATCCTGATTGGCTGTGAGAAGCCGATCGTCTGCCAGGAAGGAATAGTGAGCCTGAAATAAATCTGGGCGATGTCCCTCCGTCTGATTTGGGGAGCTGGTATTCGTCGTCCACGGCAAAAGAAAGCCTGATGTTAGCCGATCGTCGTCGGCCACTTCATTCTTCGTACTTAAGTTTTGTAATTATTCTTTATATATGTTTTTCAGTTTGTACTTCCCGGCCAATAGCGCCGAGGGATAAAATCATTCTTTGCTCCGTGCTCTTCTGGCATCTTTTTTTTTTTTTTGGAGTCTTTTAATCTTCGTTTGTCATTGGTCCTTGGTCCTACCGGCGTTCTTACATCGAAGAGACGTTCGGTATCCGCGGACATCGCAATGAGGAACAGGTATATCTACATCGAGATTCCCCCTTTTTCGTTCGTCCCTGGTCCTTTTAGTCTTACCGGCGTCTCTTGCTTCGAAGAAGACGTTCGGTACCCAAGGAACTCGCAGGGACGAACAGGTTTACCCTCACGGGTTCCCGACTTTGTTATCCCACGTCCATCGATCCATGGTCATTGTGGGATAAACAGGTTTATCTTGGCAAAGCTCCCTTGGTTCGTCTAGCCCCCTCCGCGTCTCTACTAACCTCTACATCGAGAGGCGTTCGTCTTCGGCGGCGGGAGAAGATCTGGCACGCCTGGGCAAGATTCCCTTCCACATAGGAGCTACCCTCCTCTTCTCCCCATCTTTTATTTTTTTTTAATCATTTTTTTTTTGTTTGAGGGAGGCAATCTAAATTCTTCGTTCGTCCTTGGTTCTTGGTCCTACCGGCGCTCTTGCTTCGAAGAGACGTTCGGTATCCGCGAAACTCGCAAGGAGGAACAGGTTTATCTACATCGAGATTCCCTAGCTCTTCTTTGTCCGTCCCTGGTCCGTGGTCCTACCGATCTTCCTACATCGAAGAAGACATTCGGTATCCAAGAAACTCGCAGGGATCACGGGATGTCACACATAATGGTGGTGGCATGGCGAACAAATATAATGACGAGGCGATGGAAATGCTGGTCGTCATGCGAAGGCGAAGGTCACCCCCCTGAAGGGAGGGGTGAGCCCGATCGGTAACTCAAGAAGGTCGGCATTGGGAGCCGACAAACAATGATCATAATGCCGCTGAGCAGTCGGTCCTGATAAGGAGATGACAATAGTGTCCGATCAGGCCGATATATCCAAGCAACGGCTCTCATCCACGCAGCGCGGGGATGAAACCGGTCTTCAAAAGATAATATGTCGTGCCGAGAGGCCGAACATAACAGGATAGTGTCGGCAGTGAGAGGCCGGCCTGAAAGAATCAAACAACGGTCCTCGTCCGCGATGTGGCGGGGACGAGGCCGGTCTTCAAAAGATAAGCACGCCAAGCCGAGAGGCCGGTCGTGGTATGATGATGTCGGCGATGAGAGGCCGAACATGATGTGACAATGTCGGCAATGAGAGGCCGATCAGAAGAAAATCCAGCAACGGTCTTCGTCCGCGCAGCGCGGGGAC